AAGGAAGGAAGGAAGGAAGGAAGGAAGGAAGGAAGGAAGGAAGGAAGGAAGGAAAAGGAAGGAAGGAAAAGAAACAAAAAAAGAACCAAAAAGAGAAAAAAGAATAAACGTAATGAAATAAGCCAAGTTTTCCCCTAATTTATTTGTAAATTCATTTTTTTAAATTTTGCATAATCCATTTCTCTTATTGTTGTCGTAAATGTTTAATAAGCTTCTTTTTAATTCTTTGTTCATTTTTATCTGATGCATTGGGATACATAATGGAGTAAAAGTCTATTCAACATCTTTCATTAAAAAAAAAAATCCCAACCAAGTCTAATGAACAGAGGACAAAACATATTGCCACAAAACGTTTTCCTGTCTACTGACTTAGAAAAAGAAGAATTGAACAAACATATGATTTTTTTTTTGCCTGAAGGACTTTCTTACCTACAATGTTCTGTTGCCAAATTCATAATAACAATAAAAGCAAACAATATTAAATGATCAAATGGCTTACTTGATATCAAAGAAAGGATGCTACTTCATTAAATTGTTTTTTTCCTCTGGTTCAACTGAGCTACAAGACCAACCCCAAGACTTTTTTTCTCCTACTTGTTAAAAAATATAATTTTGAAAGGCCAGAAAGGGAATTAATGTAATAACATGCTAATGTAGCAGCTCATATATATACAATAGATCAGGGATCTTCAGCTTAAGACTTATGGGCTTCAACTCCCAGAATTCCTCAGGCCAATTGAGGAATTCTGGAAGTTGAAATCCACAAGCCTTAAAAGTTGCCAAGTTGGAAATCCCTGTAGTAGATGTATTAATTTTATGGGGAGAGAAATTCCGCTACAAGCCACTTACTGTTTTGCATTCATTTCCCATATCTGTTTGCAACCATCCAGGGTGCAATGCAACACACAGGATCTCATCTTGGGCGTATTGCAGGGACTGGCATCGGTTGAGCATGTTTAGAGCAGTCTAGAAGAGAGGCATTGTAGAAAGAGGAAGATGAATGGCACATCCTAGTTCTACAAAGAATATTGTAAGTTATGCTGCAGCTGCCCAAAAAGCCAATGCAATCTTAGGCTGCATTAGCAGAGGAGTAGAATCACAGATCACGCGAAATGTTAGTAGCAATAGCAATAGCACTTAAATCTATATACCGCTTCACAGTGCTTTACAGCCCTCTCTAAGTGGTTTACAGAGTCAGCCTCTTGCCCCCAACAATCAGGGTCCTCATTTTACTGACCTTGGAAGGACAGAAGGCTGAGTCAACCTTGAGCCGGTGAGACTCAAACTGCCAAAGTGCAGGCAGCTGGCGCCACCATGGCTCAATAGTTTCATATGTTTTGTGTGTGTGTGTGTGTGTGTGTCTGTGTGTGTATTTCCCCAACACGTATTTGCAAGAAAATGTTATTGGACATGATGTTATATCAGAGAACAGATATTTCTGTAGGAGAACCAGGATGGGTTTGGGAAAGGAGAGCCCAGTATGTTGACTTTTGAGAATAACCACCAGCACAATAACAATTATGTTTCTCCCATCCTCTATACACTTGTAATTTTTATAATTAAAAAAAAAACAAGGATCCCCCTTGCAGGCAACCAGCAGTCAGCAGAAGTAGGCTGCAGTACTGCACTCTAACCACTGCCCCACCACAGCTCTTAATAGTACCACTTTATAGCCTTGTAAGACCACTCTTGGAACACAGGTAGTGTGTGGCCATTCAAAGTTACAACAGCATTGAAAAAAGTGACTTTTTTCACACTTATGACCGTTGCAGCATCCCCATGGTCGTGTGATCAAAAAATTCAGACGCTTTGGCAGCCGGTTCGTATTTATGACGGTTGCAGAAGTCATGTGATCAATTCTGTTGACCTTCTGACAAGTGAAGTCAATTGGGGAAGCCAGGTTCACTTAACAACTGTATGATTAACTTAACAGCTGCAGTGATTCACTTAACAACTGTGGCCAGGAAGGTGGGGCAATGGGGCAAAAACTCGCTCAGCCACCGTCTTGCTTAGCTACAGAAATGTTGAGCTCCATTGTGATTGTTAATTTAGCACTCCCTGTATTGTCTGAGATTTTATATGAAAAATCTATACATATAAGATCTATAAATCTGGTATTTATATGACCGTGTGGGCAGTGACCAAGCCTTCTCCAAACCTTGCTGCAACGATAGTTGGGGATTTGTCCAATATCCCAGGCCATAATGTTGGTGATGGAGCCGCAGTCACTGGATACATTAATAATTGCAGCTTTGCTGCAGCTCATTCCTTTCAGAAGACTTTCCTTGGATGCCTTCCTCAGCAAAGGTAGGAAGACCTGAAGAAAAAGTGGGGGAGGGGAATTAAAAACAGCGGCACACTAGGGCTGGGTATGGAAAAGTCATCATGGGAATCTGCAATTGCAATAGCACTTAGACTTATGTACAGCTTCACGGCGCTTTACAGCCCTCTCTAAGCACTTTTACAGAGTCAGCCTCTTGCCCCCAACAATCTGGGTCCTCATTTTACCCACCTCGGACAGATGGAAGGCCGAGTCAACCTGGAGCCTGGTGGGATTCAAACTGCCCAATTTCAGGCAGCTGGCAGTCAGCAGAAGTAGCCTGCAGTACTGCACTCTAACCGCTGCACCACCATGACTGCAAATGATAATCCAGAAATTATTCATCAAAGGCTGTCTTGTGGTTTTATAATCCTGGTGCAAACTTCTGTCCTTTCCTAATTGAGAAAGCTACACCTGATGAAACACATTTCTTCTCCTCCTCCTTCTTCTTCTTCTTCTTCTTCTTCTTCTTCTTCTTCTTCTTCCTACTACTACTGCTTTATAATTCAAAACACAACAATGTAAAAAGAAGTAGGAAAAACAGGGGCGGGCAACAGGAAGGGAGAAGTGTGGGAAAAAGGGAAAAAAGAAAGATAAGGCATTGACTTCCGATTTCCTTTAGTGCGGTAGAATAGGATAATAGCATCAAACCTCAACTTTTTACTTTTATGTAATAGTATAAATAAGCCATTTCTATACAACAAACCTATCTAATTGGTAATACCCAAAATCAAAGTTTCATTCCACCCAGAACACACCTCAAGCGTAAAGTCCAGAAGCAGTTTCCAAGTAGAAACAAAAGTGTGTTGTATGTATGTATGTATGTGTTTGTTTGTTTGTTTATAGAATTCATATTGCCACCTATTCGCCCATGGTGACTCGAGGCGGCTTACAGAATGTTAACACTATATTTGAAAAAACAATTCTTTTCTAACAAAAAATAAAGTACGTTAGAACAAAATCTGTGGGGGGTAGGAATCACCTCCCAACTCCCACCCCCCACCCCAATGACAGCAACTCACACAAGGAGCCATTTGATGGGCTCCATCCTGCTCTGGGTTCCCCAGGCCTGCTGGCAAATTCAGGTCTTCAGCGCCTTCCGGAAGAGGTGGCGCAATGGTTAGAAAGCAGCATTGCAGGCTAACTGTGCCCGCTGCCAGGAGTTCGATTCTGATCAGCTCAAAATTGATTCTGCCTTCCATTCCTCTGAGGTCAACAAAATGAGGACCCTGGTTGTGGGGAGGCAAGATCCTGGCTCTGTAAACTGGTTCGAGAATGCTATAAAGGGACCCTGTGGGGTTCCTCAATATAAGTACTATTGCTAAGTGAGACCTAGTCAGAAGCAGAGATCTGGAGGACATTCCTACCTGGCCCATTACCATAGGACCAACGACATTGGTATTGTACACTTCTAGCATGTTTTCTGGTGTCTCTGATTCCAGACTGGATGGCTTTACTATTCCAGCATTGTTGAACAACAGATTCAGCCCAGCTCCGTGTAAACATCCAGTAATTTTGACCGCAGCAGCATTGATGCTAGAGGGATCGGAAGTATCTAAAACGGAAACAAGGAAGGTTTTTTTTAATGGGTGCAGATCCCTAGCCAGGAAGCAACCCTGCTGTTTCCCAACAAGACACCTGACTGCATTTTATATATTGGAGCTCTCTATATTAGAAAAGTTTTCCTCAATCTCACCTGAGAGGTTCTGGCAATTCCAATCCAAGGCTGGATCAATGGCACCTCCCAAGAAGGATGCTGTAACTTGCAGAATTGTGAGGTATAGTTGCAAAATGCAGAGCAGGAGAATCAAAAACAATAGTTTTGGGGGAACTTTTATGAAAGTATATCCATGTATGCTTTCCAAAAGGATGCTGTGATTGAAGAACTAACCCCCAAATGTTCACGCCACTGCATCTCTCATTCTCTCTCTTGTTTTTTTGTTATTTGGGTTTTTTTTTTGTTGTTTCTGTTTTTGCATTTCGGGCTTACTGAAATATACATTTGCTAAGGTGGTTGTGAAAATGAATTATGGTTGAAGAGGCAGCAAATTTTTTATAACAATTTTTTATAGCATGAAGACCAAAGACAAATTCTAAAACTAGCCACACATACAAAAGCATGATTGTTATTGTTGCACATATATGTATATATATTGTTGCATATATATGTGTGTATGTGTGTGTGTATGTGTGTGTGTGTGTGTGTGTGTGTGTATGTATATGTATATGTATGTATGTGTATGTTTTCTTAAGTTTTCGTAGGTACTTACATGTATGGTATTCAGCTTTGTTCGGGTATTTTCCCACGTCATTATAGTTGTGCTTTTAAAGTTGTAGCACACACACGACGAAGATGAACCCAACACACGAGCCTGATGATGGCAGATGAGATTCTGCTGAAAGGTCACTACAACTTTAAAAGCACAACTATAAAGACATGGGAAAATACCCAAACAAAGCTGAATACCACACACACACACACACGCACACACACACACACACACACACACACACACACACCATACAATACACCCTAAGAACCTTTGGCCTCCAGGTTCATTGCCTTTCCTATCAGCCTGTGTTTTTTGGTCTTTAAATGTTATTATGCAATTGCTAACTGCATGTGTACAATTTTATCTAGCTTAAAATCTCAGAACAACAGAGAACAAATAAACGCCTTGGTTTTTACACATTTTTTTTTGTTTGTTTTGGCAGCCACAGGTCTGGCTATTCATTCACCCTCTGGGAGACAAAGGGAATGAACTAAAGGAGAAAACAGCAGATTTTCCGTTTGGACAATCCCTTTTACGAGGACTGTTATTGGAGCAACAGACCTATGATGCAGGTGTGACAAATTCCTGCAGGAAAGGCAAGACAGATGTGTATTGATATGTCTACAGGCAGTCCTCGACTTATAACAGTTCGTTTAGTGACCGTTCAAAATTACAACGGCACAAGATCTTGTTGATGACACAAACTTTGTCAAGGACCTTGGAGTATTCATCTCAAATGATCTAAGTGCTAGAGCTCACTATAACTACATAGCCAAAAAGGCATTAAGAATTGTCAACCTAATCCTGCATAGCTTTTTCTCCAGCAATATCACTCTACTAACTAGAGCATATAAAACATTTGCTAGACCAATACTCGAATACAGCTCATCAGTCTGGAACCTGCATTACATATCTGATATTAATACAATTGAGAAAGTCAAGAAATATTTTATGAGAAGAGTCCTCCATTCCTCTACTCGTTGCACAATACCTTATGCCACCAGACTTGAAATTTTAGCCCTAGACAACCTAGAACAACGCCGCCTTCGGTTCGATCTAAGTATAGTATATAAAATTATCTACTGCAATGTCCTACCTGTCAATGAATACTTCAGCTTCAACCATAACAATACAAGAGCACACAATAGATATAAACTCAAGATAAACTGCACCAACCGTGATTGCAGGAAATACGACTTCAGCAACAGAGCGGTCAATGTCTGGAATACTCTACCTGACTCTGTGGTTTCTTCCCCAAACCCCCAAAACTTTAACCTTGGACTGTCTATTATTGACCTCACCCCTTTCCTAAGAGTCTGTAGGGGACGTGCATAAGCACACCGTTGTGCCTACCGTCCCTGTCCTATTGTTTATTTATTTTTTCTTATTTGTATCCATTTCATGTATTTATGACCATGTTTATACTTATATTCGTTGTCTAATAATTGTTTGACAAAATAGCTAAATAAGTAAAAAATAAAAAAAAGTTGACTGGTGACCAGTTTTCACACTTAATGACCGGAGTAGCATCCCCACGGCCACGTGATCAAAATTCAGATGCTTGGCAATTGATTAGGATATATGACCGTTGCAATGTCCCATGTTCACTTTTTGAGACCTTCTGACAGGCAAAGTCAGTGGGGAAGCCAGATTGACCGAACAACTGTAATTTCACAACTACAGTGATTCCCTTAACTGCGGGGCAAGCCAACTGAACAAATGTTTCACTTAGCAAGAGAAATTTTGGGCTCAGGTGGGGTTGTACACCAAGGACTACCTCCACTCCCATCTCACAGAAAAATCCCCCCTGCAAGCCAGCTCTTGGCCCATCAGGCAAAGGGGGCAACCGGCAACCCTCCAGACCCTGCTGGGCCACCAGTGGCTGGCTCTCAGACCCCAGAAGAAGGACAATATTAACACATGCTGAGAGTTAGGAGCCAGCAATATCAGAAAGGACTGCAGGTTGCTCGGTTTGAATGCAAGGGCAGGAGCCCGGAACTCACCAAGCTGGATGATTTCTATTCGGTGCTGGTGTTGGGCAGCCAGATTCTTCAAGCTCTGAAAGACACAAATCGAGGAGAGTCTTTGGAAGCTGTTTTGAGGCTGGTGAAGAATATGTGGCTGAACAGAAAGGAAAGCAGGAGGCCGTTAAATTATTTGCAGAAGAAAGAGGAGAGAATGTTTGCAAGAGGTTTCCACCTCATTCCCTTTCCCAAGCAACGCAGGCTTTGCCTGTCACTAGAGCCAAGTTATTAACCCCCAGTTGATTCCTTCCAGGGCTCACCTTTGCACCTGGTCCCTCTGGGTCACGGCAGGTGGCAAAGATCCATTCTGGTGGGTCCCTTTTCCCCACCAGTTGCTTCACCAGCTCCAGGCCGATGCCCCGATTAGATCCTGTCACCAGGACACTACGTGGATTCAGCCCTTCCATCTCCTTCGGTAGCTAAAATCCAACTGGAAAAATTATGCAGCTTGACTTCAATAAATCGGGTTTCTGTCCCCTTTCATCTGCCTTGGCTCCCAGAAACTGTTTCTGGTCTTTTGCACTACGTTCGGCAAGCGTTCAGAAGCTCTGAAAGTAACTGCCCACACCCAATATGCAAAGGAAGAGAAGTGGTTTTTAAAGCTGCTGGTTGCTTAGTGAGGGAGGACATTGGAGGGAAGGTTTTGTGTGTGTGTGTGTGTGTGTGTGTGTGTGTGTGTGTGTGTGTATGGAAAGGAAGGAAAGAAGAAAGGGAGAGAAAGAGAGAAACAGAAAAGGAAAAGAAAAAAAGCAAAGAGAGAGAAAGAAAGAAAGAAAGAAAGAGAGAGAGAAAGGGAGGCAGGGAGGGAAGAAGGAAGGAAGGAAAAGATAGATAAAAATGGAAGGAAATGAAAGAAAGAGAAAGAAAGAAAGAAAGAAAGAAAGAAAGAAAGAAAGAAAGAAAGAAAGAAAGAAAGAAAGAAAGAAAGAAAGGAATGAATGAATATGGGAGGGAAGAAGAAAAAGAGAGAGGGGAAGTAAAGAAGGAAAAGAGACAGAATGAAAGAAAGAGAGAGAGAAGGTATAGAAGGAAGGAAGGGAAAGATAGGAAGGGGTGATCTTCAAATATAACTTGGACCAATTGGGTATTCTTTTCAAAGACCTCATATTCGCTGGAGGGTGATGGAGGACAGCACTGACTGGATCACTGCCAGATTTTTGTCACACACTTTCCAAACAAATACACATAGGAAGGTGAGAATCACTGCCGATTCCTTCCTTCTTCCTTCTTCTCTTTAGCCGAAGGAGCCCCAGGAAAAGGAGCACTGCACTGCTATCTTTTTTTTTTTTTTTTTGCCTTCCTGGGCTCCAGGGAGGCCTCCTGGGGGCCACCCACCCCCCACCCCAAGGAGGCTTCCCTGTGGCCCAGGAGCACCAAAAAACAGACCACGGGGGAGAAGGTGTTTCCAACTCTGTTAATCTGTAAGCTCAGGGGTTGAGCTTGCTTGTTGTCTTGTAGATGTTCCATTTACCCAAACTAGATAACATCATCGGTGCATGTCTGTAACATCACATCTGCTCCGGCTTGTTTGAAATGGCGGCTACCAAGGCAGTATTTTCTCTTGGAACTGCTTAAACTGTCTGGCATTGCAAACCTGGAGTGGGGCCGATCCATTTTCCCCTGGAAGGAAATCTGGCCTCATCCTGCCTTGCAATGTTGGTGCTGCAGCCAGCCACAAACCTTTCCATCTGTGCCATAAAAATACATGCCATCTTGTTCGCGGCCTTTAGAGGTTACTTTGCTTAATCCAGCTGTCATAGCAACATAAACCCTGTTTAGAAAATCACTTTTTGCTGACGTTTCCATTGCATAACTTAACTCTTATAATTTGATTTTATAACTCCTTTCACTGCCTCCCCTGATGGGGAAGTTGCGTTGTTGTTGTTTTTTTGTAGACATCTTGCAACACCCCAGGGAAAGTCCCCAAAATGCCTATTGTGAAAGGCAGACCGAATGCGTTGGGACCAGCAACTCAGTCGTAAGATGAAGCAGTCGCGAAAAGAAGCATTACACGCTTTGACGATCTTAGCATCTGTTTTTCCTGTGCTTTACAGACCTGAGAAGGCCGCAATGTGAATGAGAACCGGTTGGAAACGCGTGTTTTCATCGCCATCTTCGCCACGGTCGCTAAACGAGGATTACCTGGATTTCCATTTTGAGTGGAGCAGGGAAGGGAGCAGTGGTAAAAGGAGGGAAAAAGAGATTGAAATGGGGTTTTGGCTTTAGAAGGGAAATTTCAACCTGAAGTTACTCCGCAAACATGAATGTCCTTCTCAAGACTAGATTTCTAATGAGCTCTTACCTCTAGGCAACGTTTCAATGAAGTCTCATTCATCATCATCAGGCTTCTGTCTTCGGCTGTGCTTCTCAGAATAATGTGAACTTGCAGCTGCTCAGGACATTGGGGGCAAAGTTGGAGCAAATAAAGGGACTCCTACTTATTATTTGACTGTAGGGGTACTGCAACGGTCATGAGTGTGTAAAAGGGTCATAAGTCATTTTTTCCAGTGCCATTGTAACTTTGAACAGTCGTTCCACAAATGGTTGTAAGTCAAGGACTACCTGTTGCTACAACTTTAAAAGCACAACTACAATGACGTGGGAAAATACCCGAACAAAGCTGAATGCCTATGTATATATATAAAAAAATCAGTCTGGTTTCAATTATATTTTAACCAATTAGGCTTTGCTGCCTTGAAGGAAAGGAATCGGTCCATAGATTTCTTTTGAAGAATTCAGAAGCTTGGTCAGTGGATTCTTGTGGGTGGGAAGAGAGATCTGAAAACATTTTGTGGGGAGAGGGAAAAGAAACTCAAGATGGCA